GTGCGAAGGGTGCCGGCTGTGGAGACTCTCCGGTGTCTAATAGGGGGCTGTGCTCACCTCGCAGCAGTTCTCTTTGCAGGGGCAGTAACTGGATCTCTTGCCTCTGCCCTCCCATCCCTGGTCGGGAAACGTGAAGGTAATCCCTCGCATCCCTGGAAGCTCTTCTCCTCTGCCAAAGGCTGCCAGCGGGTTCAGGAGTCGGGGGGTCAGACGAGCAACCTCCATCCCCCGGGACGCTCGAAGAAGGGAATCTCACAACTGAATTTTCAAGAGGTTTCAGCTGAGCAACAACATCCTTCTCCCTTCTAAAATCTGCAGCAATGAAGCGGCCCGGGAGGTTTTAAGCAGCTTCCAGCTCCCCCGGCTCTGCCCCGTATTTACCACCCGAACAAAGCGCAGGGAAGAGCAACGGGCAGACGCTGCCGACCATGGCATTTTACCGTTTCTAAGTCCGCATGAAATCGTCCCGGGGGTTCTTCCCACAATGACTCTCTCGAGGAAAGCGGAACAACGGGGTGAACGCAGCTCTGTTCACCCAGACCCAGAAAACCCCCTCCAAGCAGCTCATAGCATCGCCCCCTCTCTGCATTTCCCAAGGTCTTTCTCCTCTGTGGGTCTAATATATTTGGTGCCTAATACAGCTTCAACTTAGACAGCAGCTGTTGCCGTTGCCTCTTCCCTCTCCCCGGCCACTAACTTCATAAAATTAGTCGTAACTTGTCTTGGAGACCCACACCTCCCTGCCCAGTTCGGTTCGCAGCATCCCGAGCTGTGAGGGGTGGCCGCGGTGCCAGCGTCCCCGCTCCCGTGGGAAACTCGCCAGCAGTCCCAGGAAGGATCGAGCCGGTTGTGCTTGGGGGGGGGAAAAAAAACCCTTCCCTCTCCCCGGCCACTAACTTCATAAAATTAGTCGTAACTTGTCTTGGAGACCCACACCTCCCTGCCCAGTTCGGTTCGCAGCATCCCGAGCTGTGAGGGGTGGCCGCGGTGCCAGCGTCCCCGCTCCCGTGGGAAACTCGCCAGCAGTCCCAGGAAGGATCGAGCCGGTTGTGCTTGGGGGGGGGAAAAAAAACCCTCCCGCCACAGCGCGGGGCTGCTGGGGCAGGGAGGGGGAGAAGGGGACGGGGAGGCTCCAGAG